CTGTCTGCTTTTCTGACTAAGTTGGATTTTTAAAAGCACTTTTCTATTCTGTTTTCCCATACATAAAAAAAAGGAAAAAGTGTTTACCCTTGATGAAGGTTGGCTGGTTGTAAGTTTGGAAGCAGTGTTTGGCAACCCGTTTCCTCCGACTGTTCATCTGTTAGCTCAGTTAGAGGTGCAGCTATTTTTATCCTCACACCTCCACTGACTGACGAAGAAGTGCAGAGTGAATTAAAAGTGACACGACTCATCAGAACATTTCCAATTCGTTATAAATCACAGACCTAATAGGCATGGAAATGTTATGTTCAGATGTGTGTTTTAACTTGTGAGGTTAAAGGAACAGTAATGGTTACATTGGGTTTGATTTAGATTCACATAACGAAACAAATGTTAATAAGGGTGTTGCTTAAAGGTAAATTGATTGCATCATGTTCTTAAGAGCCCATGTGTTTAAGTTTGAGTTTACTTCCTGTCTGTCTTCTTCTGATGGTCCCTTACTTCCTGTCTGTCGTCTTCTGACGTCTAGCGCTTTGGGTTTTTCTCAATCGCGAGTACGCTTGCTTGGTAGCACATGTCTGCCGAGCATCTTGCTTCAGAAGCGAGGCAAGAATACTTCCTGGCATTCGGAAAACAAAGTGTGGAACAGGCTAGCAAGTGTGCAGGTGTGCGTCATATGAGAGGCCCCGCCTTACATTTTCCGCCACAGATTTGGGGAAATTGGTCCGTGCGCAAAGCATTGTGGGGATTTTAAGACCGCGGAGTCTACACATGTGCAGCCTCAAAATTTCTCCAAACGAAGTATGCCGGGCTCGGTAGATTTCCAAGTATGCTGGACATTGGAACAGTCCTGCGGCGGCATCGATGACGTAGTATGCTTGAAATAGTGGCTCTGAAGCAGCTTTACTCGACATTGAGAAACACCCTCTGTCTTTTAACCTCTTTCCTTCTCTTGCAAGCTTTTTCTTTTCTCTTCTGGCAATAGTTCGGCCCTCATGAATCCACTGTTTTGTGTTTTTAACCAATATATAAAAGTTAATATATTCAAAAATAATTCCAAGGTGTTTTCTGATGGAGAAAACTCTTTTTTTGTCGATTTACAGGACGAGTCCACATCCCATAATGCTGCCTAGCAAGTGGTCTGTTAGTGACAATTAACAGCCTCCTGATTGTCCAAATTGACCAATCAGAATCAAGTATTTAACCAAGCTGTGTAAAAACCTGAATATCTTAAGGTTGTGTACACTTCTAAACTTAAGATGTACCCTATCCTTTAACATTTCCTAAACTGAACCATCTACTAACTAATTCAGCTACTCATATAAATAATAATTGATAACGATGTTAGTTGGGACTCTATTTTGTACTATTGATAAAGGTATGCAGTGCCCTTTCCTCCTACTCCTCTCCACACCTCATGAAGCATCTGTTGGTCGATGCATTCAGCCTCATGAAAACATCCTGGCCATTACCACCTCCCCCCCCCCCACAAACCCACCCACACCCCCACCCCCAAAAGCTGCATTACACCACGCTCTCTGACTTTCTAATTAGCTTATCTTGGAAAATAAGAATACCGGGCAATCCTTTGCTCCAGCAGTCTAACAACGAGCAGGCCGCGGGGAGCCTGGCTGGCACAGAGTGACATCGGGGGGGCCGTTGTTTCCACAAACCACTACAAGAAAATATGGTTTCCTCTGTCTCATAAACACTTTGACTCTAAGTCAATGACCTGTTGGGAGAGCCAATTTCATTTCAAAGATTTTATATTTTTAGGAACTCACAGAATGAGGGTGATCATTTTGGGATAAAGCTATAACTGAATGGGATTCAGACAGAAAAACAATATTGAAGGCTGAAGACTTTTCTTTTTGCCGCTGCTTTTAATTGAACTATTCACATCTCACACTGCACTGTAACTTTTATTCATGTACCTATGTTATTCATGTTTTATTATCTTTGCCTGTTATTGTTTATAATGTGTTTTAGCTGCACTATTTCTTAATGCCCGTAATGTCTTTCATTTTTGTAAAGCACTTTGAATTGCCTTGTGTTGAACGGTGCTATATAAACACACTTGCGTTGCCTTGCCACCACTTTCCAATGCATTGCAAATGGGTAAAACTGGTGTTTGACGCACATTTAAGAAGTGTATGCGCTCACATAATCTGTCACACATTTCAAACCACTGTGGCCATTTTAATGAGGTTTCTATCATGTATTATAAACCAAACATGTAACCAGTAGCTGCGTTTGAATGCCAGATGATACGGTAAATCTTAGCCTCTGTGGACTCTGATGTCTCACGGCCTGAGGAGTCATGGAGTGAGTGATGCATGGAAGGAAAAAGGGATGAAGGAAGGGATGGAGGACAGATCCCTCCACCTGTAGCAGGACTGTAATCTGCCAGTTGTCTCTCAGTTTATCCGAGACCAGCCAAGCCTCGGGCACCCAGAGATGCCTCGGCCCCGGGACACGAGGCACCTGCACGGGGAGATAAAGGCTTCAACTCCCGGGCTAATACTGACGCTGCTTTTGATAAATACAGACGAGGGGTGGTGGGTGGTGGGGGAGCCATCTCTCCCCCCTCTCTCCCTCTCATTCTCTCCTCCCTGTCTACCTGTCTCAGTAATCTCTCCTTCTTGTACTTTTCTCCTCTCTGTCTGTTTTCCCTGCCTCTCTTTCCCCATCTCTGTACCTTCTTTATCCTGTCCTGTGTGAGTTTGGATCAGACAGGCGAAGCTCTCCACGCTCTGCCTTTTTTATTTATTCCATATCTGTAACTGTCAAAAAGAAGATTGCTACTTTAGGAGCTGTCTGCGCTTTGTTGTGCTGGTGGAAAGTCAAATAGAGGAGGTTGTGTTAAAAGCATCTTGACCACTTTGTGGGGACACAAACAATGTCAGCTGTGGTGTTGGAAGCCCCAGACAGTTGGAAATGGCTCCATAAGTGCAGGACACATGATGCCTTTTAGATGGCACAGTGCTGAGAGGGCGGTTGAAACAGTATTAGCCTGGGGAGGTAATTGGAGTAGGCCTCATCCACATTGCCTCCTGCCGTGTCTGTCACTTAAATACCTATTTATGAGAGCTTATCAAAACATAAACATTGCCAGGGTTGCATGATTAGTGTATTAAGAAAAGCTTTGGGACCTAAGTGACCCAACAAAGCTCAGATTAACACCGTCAAGATTATGTCAAATCCATTCAGAATGTGGGATAATAATTACTGGCATAAAATATCCAAGCACGTTATTTTAACTGACATCATTACACGGCAAAGATGAATACTACATTTTCTCAAACTGTTTTTCGCTACGAGACCACTGCTAAGGAAGTGCGTTTACATTTGTCGAGCACAACAATTTAGTTTAGTGTTTACGTCACAAAAGAGACAGGAAGTAAACTCTGAAGGTAACGCGTATGAACCATGTTTGGAGGAGCCATATTAAGTCCATTTTCAAGTTCATATTTGTATTCTGTGCCTCCACTGTGACATGTTAAATAATAGTAATAATACATTGTATTTGTAAAGCACCTTTCATAGCTAAAAGCAATCCCTCTCATCTCATACTGCCTGTGCTGCAGCACCTCTTTTCACCCTCTGTCTGAAACCAGAGCCCAGTCTGCTCTGATTGGTTAGCTGGCCGGCTATGTTGTGATTGGTCAACCAGCTTAGAGATGTCCCGCCCCTTAGTCTAAACACAGGAGTCCAATGGAGGCGTTCCAGGTGCCTAAACTTCCTCTGGATTTTATACTTTGCAGACCATTGACATGCACTAAAACCTATAACACACTAGCGGAAAGGGAAGGGAAAACCCCAACAAGCATGAGAGTGGTTCGTGGAAAAGACAATGAATGAATAGACTTGGATTCAAGATCTCTTCACATTGGGATCCTGCTCACCCCGTCTGTATTCTTTTATCATTAATGACCGCCTCGCTGCACATTATCCCCTTACGTGTTACTACACTCACCTGAGAAATAACACTAATTCTACAGCCAGCACTTGCCCTGCTTCACTTTAAACATACGGCTGTCACTATCAAACTAGTGGCTGGCAGCGTGAGAAAGCCAGACCTCCAGGAGCATGACAGAGAAACTCTCGAGTGCAAAGTTGCAACTCCACCACAAAACAGAGTCAGCGGAGATGAGCGGCGTCATATTGCACCGCGCCGTATCTCCGACAGCAGTTCATCTCTCCTGTCTACGGTGTCGTGCCCGGTGTCTATTCCCATTAGCCTGTGACCGGCGCTATGCTATGCTACGCTACGCTAGGCTAGCAGGCGCAGATGGCTGAGGGTGGCAGATGCCGGGCTCTTTCTGCGGATGCCCTCCATCAGCAGATGACAGATGTCAGGGCTCCTGTTGGACGGCAACACTTCATCACGCCACCCTGTTCCCCCCCCCCTCGCCCCACTTCAGCAGGCCTGCTCCCCCCTGCCACACCCACACACACACACACACACACACACACACACACACACACACACACACACCACACACACACACACACACACACACACACACACACACACACACACACACACACACACACACACACACACACACACACACACACACACACACACACACACACACACACACACACACACACACACACAACACCGCTGCATCCATCAGTCAAGCGTTATTACATCAGACAGCCGTCATACTGGCAACCAATGGATCACATGCTAATGCGCCCGGACGCATCCACTCTGGAAATCTAGTGTGTGTGTGTGTGTGTGTGTGTGTGTGTGTGTGTGTGTGTGTGTGTGTGTGTGTGTGTGTGTGTGTGTGTGTGTGTGTGTGTGTGTGTGTGTGTGTGTTATAAGAGAGAGGTACTGTATGAAATAGCAATGTATACTCTTGTGCATAGAATAAAAGTTTTGCAGAGACATAAATACTCTTTCTTTTGAAATAGATGACATTATAATAAAGTACAAAGCGTACCTCTTCGATATAATAATCGTAGAAATGTTGTTATTGGACACTTACCATTTTGGCCGGCTGGTAGACTTGACGACGGGAGACATGCCATCTCTGTACAGGCTCTTGGTCTTGGAGAAGTTGACCACGTTGAAAATGACTCTCTGAAACACAATGAAGACAAATTAAAACCAACACAAATAAAATCCAGTGGAGATTGTATCTATTGGTTCCATCATGGATCACTGTTTTTATGGGTGTGTCTCCATTTTTCCAGTTGTTATATGCAGACATATAAAAGGAGGCTATGAGCTGGCAAACGTATATAAAGTATTAAAACGAAATGTCCTTTTTGTCCTTTTAAACAAAGAAAAAGCATTAGATAGTCAGTCAGGCCTCACAGATATGCATTAGCGTGCGACTTTGTTCAATTGCAAGAAACCACAGGGAACCTTTTGTATTTGGACAAATTAATTAGAATCAAGCAAAATGTGAGCATTTGAAAAGCTAAAATGGAAAAACAGCATGTTCCAAAAAGCCATTAATTGTCTTTGATTCTTTACAATTATATCATTCGACATGAGAGTGGCTGTCAAATGTAAACCCTGGGAGTCCAGAGAAAGCTCACACCACAACAACTCTATATCTTGCCAAGCGTATTTGTCTAATATCGAGTCAGAATATGTCTTTACACTTGATATAACAGGGTGTATGCAGGAATCCTGAAGTCAGATGTAATACCTTTTAAGACCTTTTTTAAGACCCTTTCCATACATTTTAAGACCTCATCGCCACTTTGAGTTTTAACCGGTTACATTGGCGACACACTTTACCTCACATTGACTATATACAGTATTGATTGTCCTTCCTCCTTATCTTCCAACCATTTGGACGCAGACTTGCATTTCCCCATAACGATGTTGTTTAACAACCGGCGTAAACGGACCTTCGCGCGCTATCAAGCAGTGAGCGCGTGATGTCCTGTTCAGATGACGTCAAACCCAACGGGATGCCATAAATAAACTACACAGAATCATTTCGCTCTATGTGCTGTTTGCTGTCTACGGGTCTGATTCTGCTGACCACGCCCCCCTGCAGGAGAGGGGAGACGTGCTCTGATCAGCTGCTGGGCTGTCAGAAGAGGGGGAGAAAAAGAGATCTCCGTCCTCCGTGTTTTATTATATAGAGTCGTTATTCATTTGTTTTAAAGCTCAATAAATAACAAAGAAGACCTTTGACCGGCACTTTTCTAATTTTGTCCGGAAGATTTAAACTTTAACGGACATCTTGACCGGCGAAAGAAACTGAAACTGAAACTCTGCCGCACGGTCCCCTCGTTCCTTGGAAGAGGCGGAGAGGTGGGTGTTTGTCATCTGCTGGTGGACTAACCGGAGAGAATTACAGTGCTTGTCTCGACGGGGAGGGATTGCATTGAATTAAAGCAGCGGGAGCAAACGCTTGCCTCGGGGAGGGAGAAAAAAAGCCACAGCGGAGAATAAACAGAAGGGTAACCATGGTAACTATGGGCGGGAAGTCTTCTTCGCTGCTTTTGTGGCAGACTACAGCGCCACTTACAGGCCTGGCATATGTACTACAGCGTCTCCAGCGCTTTCGAGCGGCAATGGCCGGCCGTGGCCCAACCCCACATTCCCCTGATAGGTGGAGAGTTGGCCCAATAGCCGTAGCGCCACTTCTGTGACGACATAGAAGTGTTCAAATCTGGATCAGTCTGTATCAGATCCGTTGCAGCCCCTTTTTTAGAGATTTGGGTATGGAGGAAAATAGAGGGTTGTGTTTTCTGACACTTGGTGAGTTCCCTGGAACACCGGGCACACATATTCATGTATAAAAGACGTACAAAAGTGCATTTTGCATGATAGGTCCCCTTTAAGAAGTAACAATGCAGTGAGATACAGGGTCTTGTTTCAGACAATGCAAATTAAGTATCTTGTTAAGTTAAAGACTCTTAAACATCTTATTTGGAGTTGTATCTCACGATTTATTGGGAAATCACTAATGTCAGGAAACAGAACACTTTTGAGCATTTGTGGCCTATTTTGTAACAACATTTCCTGATCCTGGTACAATATAGTTCAAAATAAGTTTTCCCAGGTAATTACAAGATCTGATTGATCTAAATATCCCATCTTATTTCAAGAAATCGTAGCAAGCTAATTTTCATCTTTTGGCAGATTGTTTTATATTACACGCGAAAACACCTTGTTTTATGATTGTTTCACTTGTTTTTGGAGCAGCATTTTTTACAGACCGAGGTAAAAGTTGTCACCATGGATAACACCGACAAATCACCACACATTAAAGGTCACCTATCATGCTATTTTTAGGCAATAGCATAGGTCTCAGATATATAAAAATATATAAAAAACATGTCTATGAAGTGTTTTGCTCAAAATACCAAACAGATCACCCATTCTAGCCATGCCTCATATCCCTCTATTTCACTTCCTGTTTCAAAAGTGCTGATTTGGGGTAGAAAGCTTTAAAAAAGAAAATAAATTGATTACAAATAAAAAAGGAGGGGTCTGAGCTCATGCGGGACCCGGCAGCTACTGTCTAAACTAAATACTGCCGTGATGAAACGCCATATCATGGATTATCAAGGATTATTTCTGAAACAGTATGGAGCTCAAAGGCTTTCTCTCTTGCCGGTTATACCACAAGGTGAGTTCCTTTTTATTTCCTGCTTCTTCATACACATGCTCTCCAGTACAGGTTAGCTCTGAGTGTTAGCGATGCTAATGTAAACACCGACCATATTACGTCCAAAACAGTCGGGCATTGTTTCTGATAGCAACGTTTCTGATAGGGCCGTGGGTCCACATTTCAGATATTACGTCATAGTGGACGCAAATCTGGATCAGCTCCGTTGTGGCCCCGTTTTTTAGAGATTTGGGTACGGAGGAAAAAAGAGAGGGTTTTATTTTCTGACACTGCGTGAGTTCCCTGACACACCGGGGACACATCTTTATGTATGAAAGACATCAAAAAGTGCATTTTGCATGATAGGTCCCCTTTAACATTAACAGTAAGCAGATAAGGCGGCTTTAATGTCCTGCAGATGATCCCATGTTGCAGTTACAAAGTTCCTGATAAAAGGCAGCCCCCCGGAGGAGTGCAGCCTCTAATCTGCGAGGACATTACTCTCCTCCCCAGAGAGAAGACACCCCCAAACATTAAGCCTCGCCTGGAGCGCAGGACGGACGTCTGTCTGCACCTCCGATGGACCAAGGACTTTCTTTCTCAGCTAAAAATATTGAGGAACAGCCTCTCCTTCCTCCAACCTCCAGCATGCACGATTAGGATCGGGAGGGAAATGTGGAGAGAGAGAGAGAGAGAGAATGAATAAATATACTTTTAAAAAGTCAAATGAATGGCAATGGTAATACTGCGGCGAGGTAAATGAATCCTATTGATGGGGCATATCAAATTACCAACTAAGTCCAGGTGGTGGAAGTTAACTGGGTGCTCCTGAAATCCTATTACAGACTCCCCACCCTCCTTTTCTTTCTCCTCTCCTCCCCCCTCATCCATTTTCTCCCTTTTCCTCCCGCCTAGCATCAGAGGAATGGGGATTGCGGATTGTGGCAAGCTGATTCAGACTTAGGTAAAATGACATCTAACTGATGTTGAGACTGGCAGCAGGCTCCTGTAGCAGAGAGATAAGACCATTGCTGCTGGCATTTCAATTACACTTTACTGCCCCGCACATCTGTTGCGAGAGCTACTTTTCAGCCTTTTCCCCTCAGGCAAATACAGCCTTACTCTGACTCCACTGGCTTTCTTTGACTACACAGCCCCCTTCCTCATTCTTTATCCACAACAAATTCAGATTGTCTTCCTCCTTAGCTTCACTATACCCACTGTTTGTAATCTATTTGTTCGGCCTGTTTAACTCAGAGGAAGGCAGAGGCTGTACAGATGACAGTGACGCAAGAAAAGGAAAAACAAGGCTGAGAATAACACGACAGAAAGGTGGGAGACAGACAGTAAAGCAGAGAGGAAAAGCAGGGAGGGACACAGAGAGACAGAAGATAATTACAAAGTGATACATAAAGGTGGCAGACAGAACATTACTGAGAGGTAGAGCAAATGAACTGGGCTCAGTGGACAGATGCAGAGGACACAGGCAGGTGGGAGGCAAGCATACGGCACGTTGAAGTCTCAGTCTGTCTCCGTGGTTCTTAAGTTTCACTGAAGTTTAACAGATTAAAGGAGAGTCTTTGAATCTTGTGACTCAACATCGGATCAAAAAGTCAGTCTTGAACCTACGAGACAAGGGGAAGGGAGGAGAACCCTGGGAAAATGACTAACAAGCTCAGAACAGCATGGGAATATGTTCCTCTTTAAAGAAAAAAGGCTACATCTTTTAGTGTGGTATCTGCCATCTTCAAAGTATTCTCATACAGCAGGTAATGTGATATCTAAAGAGAAGTTGCTGCTCCTTTTTCATGTGTTTCCTTAAGAGGCCCTATTCTGCTTTTTGGGGATTTCCATTTCCTGTAGTGTGTTCTGCAGTATAGGTTTTAGTGCATGTAAATGGTCTGCAAATGCTAAAATCCATTGGATTCCTTTGTTTAGGCTAAGGGGCGGGACATCTCTAAGCGGTTGACCAATCACAGAACCGGCCAGCTAACCAATCAGAGCAGACTGGGCTCTGGTTTCAGACAGAGGGTGAAAAGAGGTGCTGCAGCACAGGCAGTATGAGAAAAATACCACACACACACACACACACACACACACACACACACACACACACACACACACACACACACACACACACACACACACACACACACACACACACACACACACACACACACACACACACACACACACACACACACACACACACACACACACACACACACACACACACACACACACACACACAGTATATTAAACAGTACTTTAGTAACTGTCTGGGTGATATTCTGAAAGTTGGATGACCATTTTTCTCTGTCGTTTTCTATGTTCAGTATAACGGTGGTTAGAGTGAATCAGCTGAAGTTGTGTTTACACACTTTCAAGAGGACCGGTGCAATTTCTGGTATTCGTTTTTGCATGAAATTGTGCCTGCGTTTCCATCTGCTTAGACCACCTCTTATCACAAATCCCAGCACAAGGATCAATTTGTTTTGCCTTA